ATGGAGTACATGTACAGTAAATTAACATACTTTCCAGAAGGCCAACAATTCACTAAAAATGTTTTTTTTTATTGGTCTTATGAAGTATTCTAATTTGTTGAGATAGTGAATTGGTGGGTTTTTGTTAAATGTGAGCCTAAATCATCACAATTAAAAGAACCAAAGACTTAAACTACTTCAGTCTGTGTGCATTGAATTTATTTAATACACGAGTTTCACAATTTGAGTTGAATTACTGAAATAAATGAACTTTTCCACGACATTCTAATTTATTGAGATGCACCTACCTATATTGTGTTTTTGCTATTTTGTACATTGTCTATTTTGTATATTTGTATATTATTCTTTTTATTATCTATGTCCTGTCTTGTCACTGTCATTCTGTTGCACTGTGGAGCTTCTGTCACTAAAACAAATTCCTCGTATGTGTAAACATACCTGGCAATAAAGCTAATTCGGATTCAGATTCGGATATTAACTATATAAAATTATAAAAATATATACATTTTCTGCCTCATATCTTGAATTATGTAATTCTAAATGCATTTTAATAGACTGATTTATGCAGTGAAAGAACGCACTATAAATGTGCACGCGCACTAGTCTAACCTCGCACTCAGACGCACACTCATGCATGCAGACCATGCATATCTGCAAACCCCTATTAGATTTTTATAATGCATTGTCTTCTTATCGATCCACCAGTTCACATTTAAAGCTCTGTGTGTTTGCAGGGTAAAAACATGGATCGATTTTTGCATTTGTCTGAACTCTGAACAAAACAACAGTTTTATTGAAAATGCTCTCATCCATTCTCTGCCAGCAGGTGGAGCGTTTGGTAGAACTATAACTGTTTCCCCGGTAACGCTGTACACAAAGCAGCACAGCAACGGACTTTGAATATGCAGCGCTCATGTTTATTCAATGAAATCATAGCCTTTTGAAGTTTAATTGTCACATTCAGCCATATCGCAATTCTGGTCTTTCTGTCCACAGATTTAAGACCTCTTGAAATCATAATTAAGACTTTCATGTACAATTTAAGACTTTTTAAGGCCTTAAATTTGATACAACTAAATGTAAGACTTTTTAAGACTTTTTTAAGACCCGCAGAAACCCTGTGTGTCTTTCGTTTTGTATTCAGCAAGTGAAATACATGCTCAATCGGGTTGAAATCAGGAGATTGACTTGGCCATTGCAGAATATTCCACTTTTTTACGTTCAAAAACTCCTGGGTTGTTTTTGCTGTATGTTTTGGGTCGTTGTCCTCTTGTACTATGAAGGGCCATCCAATCAACTTTGGGCAGGCAGTATATTCCTGTACACTTCAGAATTCTTCTGGCTGCTTCTGTCTTCTGTCACGTCATCAATAAACACCAGAAACCCAGTGCCACTGGAAACCATGCATGCTCATGCCATCGCACTGCTCCACCATGTTTCTCAGATGATGTTGTATGCTTTGGATCATGAGCTGTTCCAAGTCTTCTCCATACTTTTTTCTTTGCGTCATTCTGGTACAGGTTGATCTTAATTTCAGCAGTCCAGAGAATGCTTTTCCAGAAGAGGTCTGGCTTTTTTAGATGTTTTTTTGGCAAAGTGTAATCTGGCTTTGTTTGCACCTTGTGGTGAACCCTCTGTATTTGCAGTACATGGATTAGCTCGAGTATACATTTGTGATTTGATTACACCATCCATACCTTCTCATTCTCTCCACTCTGCTGGTTCTTTTTCTTTTTGTCAGCCTCTCAAAACTCAAAAACCATGAGAGGGAGAGCTTTTCTTGCACTGCTTCAAAGTTATTAAATTCATTACCTGCTTCTATTAGGAATGCTTCTTCTTTTGATTGTTTTAGGAAACTACTCAAAACACATATTTTAATAAAGCTTTTAATCTGTGATTGTTATTGTGACTATTGTTATTATATATAATTTATTATTATACAATGTTATTTTGTATTCTGTAACTTTTGACTATGCACATTACAAATAAAATTATTATTATTATTATTATTATTAATGGAAGTCAGACATATTACTTTTTTAACATTTGATAGTTGTATACTTATAAAGGTAAAACCATGTAGAAATACATGTAAAGGAACTGCACATTTTTACAGACTACAGTGGTCATTATCAGCTGCTCTCAGACAGCAGCAGAGGAGCTGGAGGAAACTACACTGTCAGTTCTGCTGCTCTAAAACACACAGGAGTTTATGTGTGCAGAGCTGAGACAGATACACCAGTCATTTACACAACCTTTAGCAACACACAACCACTATGGGTTACCGGTGAGTTCAATCAGAGCTTAAACGATTGGTTCATCTTTATTAAGATCAATAATTTGAATGCTTAAATCTGAAAAATTTGAGCTGTAATTGTCTTCCCAGGTGTTTCTCCTCCAGTGTCTCTGATCATCAGTCCCAGTAGAACTCAACACTTCACATCTGTCTCTCTCTCTCTGAGCTGTAAAGACCAGAGAAACTCTGATGGATGGAGAGTGAGAAGATACACAGACAGTGGACAGGTAGAAGATTGTTCGTCATCACTGTGGAGCTCACAAACAAGAGGATCTACATGTACAAACAGCTACACCAGCACAGCAGACACTGGAGTGTACTGGTGTCAGTCTGAATCTGGAGAGAACTATCATCCTGTTAATATCACTGTACACTGTGAGTCTGTATTTATTAATTTCACTGGCAGTTACAATCCATACATAAAGCAGGTTGATTAAACAAGCGCAGGAATATGCACTTCAGCAATTTCTATAATTGAAAAGGCATCATGCAACTCATATCTAAAACCAGACTAGAGACTTTGGCTGGGTTGACTTCAGTCATTAAGCATCTGCCAAGCTAATCCCTAGTACACAGAACACCAAAGCACATAAAAACAATTTCAAACATCCTAGTACTGTGGGCAAATAGCACAAACATGTTGTTTTTACTTTATTGTTTCCTTTGTTTCTGTAGCTGGTGTGATTCTGGAGAGTCCTGTTCATCCTGTGACTGAAGGAGATACTCTGACTCTACGTTGTTTATATCAATTTACAACCCCACCAAACCTCAGAGCTGATTTCTATAAAGATGGATCACTCATCCAGAATCAAACTACAGAGATGATCATCTCTAATGTCTCAAAGTCACATGAGGGTTTCTACTACTGCAAACACCCAGAGAGAGGAGAGTCACCCAAGAGCTGGATCTCAGTCACAGGTGAGAGTCAATGAAACTGTGAGCTGATTTTTTTCTTCATATGCTCTTGTTCAGATATAGTGCTTAATAAAGTTAATTTGTGTCTCCTTTTCAGTATCTCAGATCTCTGTCCTCCACACACTCAGTTCTGTACTGACAGTTTGTCCATATCTGCTAGTGACAGTCGTGCTGATCTTCAAATGCTACAGGATGAGAGGTAAAATAGCTGACTAACTTATTTGATTTTATAACCATTATATTTAATTGACCAACAAATGAGTCAGTATTGTCATACCAAGTATTGTTTAGTAATCATCTTTGGCTTACTTACTGAGGGTATGTTCTGTGTAAAGCTGCTTCAAAAACAACATATTATTAATATTGTATTGAATCCATCTGTTCTTATGTATCTTTTTTTGTTTTACTACAAATACACAAATTCCCTCACTGACATAGACATGCAGTCCTGGTCCTAGACTTAAGGAAAACTTCATCAGGAGGCCCCTGTCAGTGTGTTCATAAAAACCCCAAATGACCCCCACCCCAGTTTCACTGTCAAAAAACAACAGTGAGAAATACAATAAAATAAAGTCAGTAATACAATAATAATAATAAGCAGGACAAATACAATAGAGAGAAAAAAAGAGATACAAATGAAATAATTTACTAAATCTACTAAAATAATCTCGTAATTTAGTAATAATCTACTAAAAATAATATCCTAGTATTGTCACAATGCACTGGAGCACGGGAACAAGGAAACATGAAGATTTCACAAAACGAGAGTCTTTAATTATCCAATAGGGAGACACAGAGCACAAGGAAGACGTTCACAACAAGTAGACATGACAAAACCAAACTGAACAGACTGGGGCTTATAAACACAGGGCAATCAGGGGAACACAGGTGCATGGAATCAAAAGGTAATCAAACTAAACAAGAACAGGAAAAATACCATAAAAGGAAACACAGGAAGAACTACGGAGGCAAAACGGGTCCAAAAGTCTGACAAGTATACAGAAGTTGAATAAAAGAACCAAATGTAAAAATAAAACACTGAGTAGTCTTCACCATATGAATTTAATTTGCATTTCTTCTTTTTGAAGTTACTAAAGTTAATCAGTAAAGAGCAGTGAATTACTTTCTCATATTCTGTTGCTGTTTGATTAACATTAAATGACAGACACAGCAGCAGGTTTATTAGGCAGCTTCATTTTAAGACCGAATGCACAGATCTAATATACTGACTGACAAGGAAGGTGACAGCGCTTTCAGGAGCAGGAACGGATTGTGGCATTGTGTTTTTTTATAATTGTTGTAAGACAAAATCTAAAATGAAACTATCCTATTCTGGCAAAGCCTTAGGTCATTATATCGTCTTTGAGAGCAAGGGGACCCTTGGTGGTTAGGTGGCCCTATGCAACTTGCATACTTCGTTACATAAATGCCTTTTGTTGTCTTCTAGTCAAATTAATTTTATTTTCAAACATGATGGTAGTTAATATTACAGAAAGAAGAAAAATACATAAACATAAATGCTGACAAGATTGCTTTTGTGTGTATTTAACAGTTACATCAGTTGAAGAGGAAGAAACTTCAGTCTGATATTAATCTGAGAAAACTTCAGCTTTATTTCCGGAGTGACAACTGCAGTTAAATGCTGGAATGAATCCTCTTACTGATCGTTCTGTGTGTGCGCATGAAATACAGAAGTCAACATGAGCATTACCAGCCAACTTGACTTCCATTGATTAAAACCACATGAATACACAATGCAATTTGTAAGCATGTATATTCCTCATTTTATTGTGAGTCTCCTGACTTGTATTCATTCTTTATATTTAGGGGTTTGCAGCATAATACTACTGTAATCTACAGACATACTTATAGTTAGTATGCAGATACAATATTAATAAATTTGAAACAATGAACAAATTCCTGAACATGCATGTTTTGTGTCTACAGCTAATTCACATGTGATTATTTTTACACATCTTGTGGTTCTGATTGACATGTGAAAATACTGCATACTAGTATTCACATGGTGAGAACTGCCAGTTCCCTATCGATACTTAACTCGTACTGCTGCTTCAGCTGCACAAGCCTATGGCGACGAAGCCCATCAGAATGGGTGGGGCCATCTGGCTATATAAGCGGGCATTTTGCCATAAGATCCTCTGATTTCTTCTCCTTCAGTGACAAGGATAATCTCTTCACTGATTCTGCGATCAAGAAGCCGAAGAAGGAAGAAGCTCAGCCTGTAGCTCGCCACCGTAGAAGAGCCCCGGCAGAGGAAGAGGCGGGAAGCCTTCCCCTGCAGCTATCTGGCATGCTAAAAGAGCAAATTTCTGAGCAAATTTCCAAGCAATATTGTTGCAAATGTCTTGCTGCGAGTGTGGCTCATGCAGGTTATCCTGCACAATGCAGAAGGGCAGTGAGCATGTCGCCTGTCTGGGCAACACCCACGCAGAAACTGTGCACTCACTGAGACAGAATGCTCTCTGTAACGGGGCAAACGAGACGAGAGACATGCGGATCCATATGCAAGCTTTTATTCACTGACATTGTCAAAACACAGGCAGGGTCGAACACCAGCAAACAGGTATGGTACGAGCAAGACAGACGAGTAGTCCAATAAACAGACGTGGGTCGATCGGTGGCAGGCAGAGATCAGACAGGACGAGGTAAACAAGGCTAGAATCAAGACACAGGATAAACAGGAAACAAACAGGACTGACTGGAACTAAACTCCGGAAACACGGACTGGCTCCATAAAGTTGCTATCACTAGGAGAGTAATAAACGCAGACAATACTCTGCGATCCGAAAGAGGAAGTCCAAGGCTTATAAAGTGAGTTTGATTGGTTGCAGCTGTGTGTGTGTAATCAGTGCAATGGATGATGGGAACTGTAGTCCGGAGTGACATGTAACAGTCGGTGTAGTGTGAGAGTCAATGTAACGGAAGAGTGACCTCTGGTGGCAAGCAGACGGAAAACCACAAACCGGATTCGTGACACTCTCACTGAGAGCATGAGTCTCGCTCTTCTCAACTTGCGGACTGCCTTTAATGAAGTTTAATGAAGAAACTCCTGTTTTTCCTCTCTCAGCAAAGCTCGGAGAAACAACAGAGCCACGGAGCTGAGCAACCGGGTTTGAGCAATCCCATGCCGGCACAGAGCCTGCGTGCTCGCTCTCCCCGCAGCGCTCTGACCCGCCGGTGTGTTTACACGTGAGAATCAGCACCCCTCGTTACATTGAGCGGCTCTATCCTCCTAGGCAGATCGGAGTATAAAGCTGTCACCTCTTATCGCTGACAGCTTTACATTTGTGTGTGCATCGCTGAGGCTGCGCTCACACAGTCAGGCTGCTTTCAGCGAAAGCCTAAGTCTGTCCCTGCTTCTATGAAGAAGGCCCTGCCTCTCCTGCTTTCATGTTTCTCCCCCTCCCAGTTACCTCGGAGGAAGAAACTCAAAGGTTGAGTGATCAGGCTTGAGTGATTTCATGCTGGCACACATCCCGCATGCTCGCTTTAATCTTTAGTCAGGCTGCTTTCACCGTGAAGCAGTCTTTCCCTGCTCACTCGCAGAAACCCTTCTTTAATGAAGGCGGCCCCACCTCCCCCGCTCTCATGTTTCTCTCCTCCCAGTTACCTCAAAGAAAGAAATGGTGAATTCATGAGGCTGAGTGATCAGGCTTGAGTGATTTCACGCCGGCACAGCCCCCGTGTGCTTCATTCTCCATGCAGCTCTTTGATCTGCCAGTGTGTTCCCTGCAAACATGTCCTTGCGGGGCCCATGCTGGCTTTTTGCGGGCACAGTGGTCTAGGGCCAGCCCACACCGAACCTAAACAGGCCAGGTGTGGGCTTGCCCAGGGGAGGCCCACAGCTTTGGGTTCACCGCAGGCTCTCTGTGAGCAGCCTACACTATGGGACTGCCCACATTAATCCCATGATGGCCCAGTGTGGGCCAGACATGAGCCTGTTAATAAGAATTCTGTGTGCAGTTTTCTTCCTTACCACGAGGGATGCTAGGGTGTTTTAGGGTTCCTTAAGTAAAGCCATGTGGTAGAGAGAGTTAGTAATAGCAAGCAGCAGTAGCCAGCATGGCTCACCTGCTGAACACATTGTGCTGTGTCCTGGTTGGGAAATGTGTCATTTCAAGCCCAGTCTAAAGGAGTTTTTTTTTTTCTATTTAAAAGTGTACATTGCTGATGTTTTTTGCAGAGATGGAACATGTATGTATGGCCTATGTTTGGATTGATGCTACGAGTTTAAGACAGTGTATTTGAATGCATTTTAGAAGGACTCTTTATTGGTGAGGACACCACATCATGGTCCAGTTTGAATATGGATTTAGAGTTATTTTT